TGACTACCATACGTTACACACATGTTGCACACGTACGTTATTCATACGGTTCACGTATGAATAACATACGTGCAACGTGTGTGTAACGTATGTTTTGAGAAACATGCGTTTAACATGGTTTGTATACACTGCTCATATGATAAATGTATAAGTACCATACATCTGTCAAACCATGGTTAAACATATGTTTTGAATATTCTTTTTCACATATTGTAAACATATGTGAAACAAAAATAATGTGCAATTAAAATATTCATTTCATGCATTTGACATAATTTTCTTCAAGGGCTTATTTTCTTTTCATCTGTTGAATGATCCACATTTTGAAGGTACATATCTGGATATCCTTCACCTCAAATTTCCTGATCCTAATTGCTCTTTAGGCAATCACAACAAAAGACATATTCAAATTTAGGCCAAATTTAATGTTGAGATTTTAACATCCATTCATTCTTCTACAATTCCCTTTCATCTGTAAAGAAAAAGAAAATATTAAATGAATTTGCATATGGAAAAACACAGTTTTTTCTGAACATTATTATTTTCCACATATAGCTCTTAGTTGATTCCCTTCAGAACTAAACAAGAACTGTCCAAAATGGACAAATACCCCCCACTGATTTTTCCAGAGAAGATGCCAAGTCACTAATACTAGTATTTGAGGATCTAAGAGGTATTAACAATTTGTTTAAACATTAAGAGTTTTCAAGTATTTCTCTGTTGGAAAGTATGGATGCATTATTTATCCATTTTTTCTACAGTGACTTTATAGGTCAGGATCATGGCACATGTACCCTCAGGTCATAAACAATCTTTGTGTGAAGTGGATACTCCCAACATCCAAAATTATTCTCCATAGGAAAGACACAGACCGAACACGAATTATGAATTTTTTCTGTTAGTGACCTTGAACTTGTCCAAATGACCTTGGGTCAAGGTCATGACACTCCATCAGGTCATAAACAATCTTTGTGTAAAATGGGAACTCACCAAGTTTATCCATAAGAAAGATATGGACCAGACACGAATTATGATTTTTTTCTGTCAGTGACCATGAACTTGCCCAAATGACCTTGGGTTAAGGTGATGACACATCCTCAGGTCATAAGCAATATTTCTGCAAAATGGGAGCTTGCCAAGTTTAACCGTAAGAAATATATGGACTGGACACAAATTATGAACTTGAACTTGCCCAAATGACCTTGGCCATGGGTCAGGGTCATGACACACCCTCAGGTCATGAATAATCTTTGTGTGGAGTAGTAGATTCTAATGTTCCTCCGTAAGAAATATATGGACCAGACATGTTTGCACAGACAGACAAACAGAATATGAACAAGGTGATTCCTACATATTCCCCCAAACTTTGTTTGCAGGAGGATACTAATAGTGTCGAATAACTACAGTTTTTTTTTTAGTATTAAAAACATTGATCTTTTAAACTAGACTTTTCACTATCCTCAAGTATCTACCTTATAATTCTCTACATGACAAATTTAAAATAGAAGCATTGTGAGTGAACTCAGAAAACGAAACTTGTTCATCATAGTCATGAACTTAGTTTGTTTGCTTTAAACTCCTGGCCAGGAGTATTATTTGGATTTTCAATGAATCATTGCATTTTCACTATATGATCAATAAAGCCCTGAATCACTTACCCTGGGCCATAAATTCCATAATTTTAGTCGAAGACTCAATGCTCATTACAACCATGCTAACAGTTTGCTTGATGTCCAGATTTAAAGATTAATGCATTAATTTTGATGGTTTTATATAGCTCCATCCCCTAGGCCCCAGAGGAAGCAGGGACCATGAAATTTGCTATTTTTGTTCCCATTCACCCACATATGCTGCATTTATTTATGCCAAAATTGGTCAATATGAGTTCAACAGTTTTAGAGAAACTGAAAATGTTCAAATTTTACAAGACAATGCACAGTGAATGATGATGGACAAAAACAGATAGCAGTAAGTCATGACTGACTCAGGTTACTTTTAAATTAGTTTTAAAAAACATTTTTTTGTGATTATGTCAGCTCAGGTGAGCTAATACAAAATATTGCTTATCACTGATATAAATGACAACAGTTAAATTTTAGACATAACCATGTGTCTGACAATTCTATATAATAATAAAACTTACCCTCAGCATAAATCTTTCAAAGTTTGGCATGGACCTATTTTTTTGTGTCTGTTCGAAGTATATACATGTACTTCTTGTCCTTGAGGTAAAACAAAAATATATGTTTAAAAAAAAACTGCATTTCAGACTTGTAAAGCAAAACAAACAAGATGAAAAATTACTTATTTAACATTTTCTTCTCTTGATTGAAATGTATAATGCACATCACTACCATGATTTTATGATATGTAATTGCAAGTCTAAAAGCAATGGGATCAGAAAATCTGCCGTGATTTCTTTTTTAAGAGTATTACAATAATGCTAGTAAAACTATCAGAATCTGTTTTGAAGTCCAGTCATGACATTTAGGTGTTTACATAGGAGATACATATGAGCTTCAGCTACCATCCTGGAGTGTTCATTTAAAATCACATAAAAAATCACAATCTCAAAATATATTATTAATATTCATAAGGATGAAAAAGGCAAAGACATCTGAAAAATACACCCTAATATTGCCCTAAAAGATATTAATTTCCTCTACATGCTCCATGAAGAAATACATGGGGTGGTGAAACTTTTCCATCGAGGGTTTTATTTGCATCTTATTGGTATGCTAAAAGATATATTTACGATGAATACCTGTTATAACAGTATGTTTTAAACCTCACCTGCATTTGGATATAAAGTGCCAGTGTTGATTCACTCCTGGGCTGTGGTGCTTTGTCAACATTTTCTTAATTATTTGGTAAACTAAGTCTACATTGTTATACACTGAAATAAAAGAAACACACCCGTTAGTTTACATGCAACACAATCTGAAATATAAAGTAAAAAAATAACTGTTGATGTTATGTATTCCTCACCGTTATAGGGCCAGTGGTTCTGGAGAAGACTGTCTTGCAGACGTCAGACTTCTTACCAGTGACGTAACCCGTAACGTAAATAATAATTGGAGGTGAAAATTCAGGAACGTATATTTTACATATTTTAGTGTTATACGGACACTACCTACTGTATAATTATCTAATATCTATTTATGTGAATCCCATTTGAGTTTGTTGTGAAATTATCGAGATTTTCTTCTTCTTCTTTTTTATTCAGCTTTTGCTCCTGAATTCGGAATGATTATATCTACCGATGATATGTGCCTCTTTATGTGCCTCTACCAATATCCGATATACACATTACGAGATTGGTGTACTTGTAGTTGTATGTAGACTATGTTTTACTGCTCTAAGAGTAAACTATACACCAATGCGAACTGATTACTCCATGACAGACATGCAAGTGGACGTAAGGTAAACAATGTGAAATAAATTGGAACATTAAATACGCAAAACACGCACAACAAGTCAACAACGCACACACCTGTGAGCTTTCAGAGGTGATTGGGTTTTAATCATAGATCATGACATGATATTATTTTTTGAAAAGAAAATAGTTGAATCTTTAAAACATATTACAGTATAATCATTAAAATCCAGACAACTTATGATCTAGAGTCCCGTTTTAAGAGGGATTTTATACTTAGACCAAGTTGGTCTCAATACTCTGTTTCATGAATTACACATTTACAGGTTGTTGATTGTTAAACATTATTTTGATTAGTTCTCCAAATTCACTTTGAACTATTAAGTAAAAAAAGTATTTGGTCTGAGTACTTTTGTACAAAAAAGTTCCTGTGTATTTGAAAATGTCACCAATTTAAGAATATTATAGTCCCAGCAACAATAAAACTTTTAGGGATTTTTTTTCACTTATTGACTAAAATTCAATACTAATTTTACTAATTAATTAAACGAAATTGAAATTAAAAAAAAAAAAAGGATTGAATTTAATTATAGTTGACCTACATTTATTGTACATGTATGTAAAAGTACCATTAATATAGAAAATATACAGCCTTCTCAAACACAGCTAGCTTTTCACACACATGTAAAACAATTTTTATTAACATACATGTAACGTAGCTGATAATACTCATACTTGTCATTAACGTTCATGTAATGTGTGGTTTATTATAATATATGTAAACCATGCATATATTAACGTATGTGTAACTTGTGGTTGATAATAAATGTAAACCATGTGTGAGAAATATGTGTAATGTATGGTTTATAATACACATATAAACAATGCGTTTATGAACGTATGGTTGATAAAACATATGAAAACCACGCGTTCATTAACGTACGTTTAACGTGTGGTTGACAATACACATGTAAACCATGCGTTGTATGTTACGTATGTTACGTATGTTACACGTACGTGAAACGTACGTAACACATACGTGTATTCCAACCGCATGTTTCACGTACGTTATGTGAAACGTATGTTGTCACACGCATGTTATCCATACGCCGTACCACGTACGTGAAACATGCGGTTGGAATACACATGTGTGTTACGTATGTTTCACATATGTGTAACATATGGTATGTGCTACCATACGTTACACGTACGTTGCACAATTAGCTGTGAATAAAGGTTATTTTATTGAATTTTATTTAATAGCAATCTTAGAGTTGTTTCAGTTACTCATATATACTAAACAGACTGGACCTGTTTAGAACATACGAGATTTAGCACAAAAAGTGATACAAGGCATTGATTTCTACACTCTAGTATAAGAAAATGAAGTTTTTGAAGTAAAGATAATAAAGGAAACCAATCATTAGATTTTAACTTGTATCAATTTTAATTTTTTTTATTTTTGTATCGAGTATTCATACAGTATGGAGCAATTCTTACAAACATCTTCTGCGACTGGCTTCACGACCTGAACAATTAACAAGGAACAGTTTGATCGAAATTCTCTATGTTGTACATAGGAAATAAATTAATTATCCTGGTTCAATTAAGGGTGTACTAGGATTCACCCCAGCAGGTATTCACACCGGACATCGGCCTCAGGGTCTATAAAATACAACATCTCCGTACACAATTGATTGAATCTGGATAACTAGTTACATCTACCTTGACAAAAAGGCTTTTTCCAGTGCAATTTGCAACCAGAAAGACACGATCCGTTTTTCTTGTCACAAAATCCTTCAAGGCAATTTCCACACGAGGTACTACAATTCTGGTCATAGTAACCATAAGCACATTCTATAATTGCCGTTTGTTTCTTTCTTATTCATTTTTTTTAATTCCAGATGTACTACTTCTTAAAATAAAAGCTATTTCCTTTCTTTTTAATATGTATTACGTTCTTAAAGCTAGAAATATATAATAGAAATCTTTTGTAAATACATCTACAAAAATATTGCTCATAGCTCAATATGATGCTAAACATCTTCCTTGACACACGGGTTCCTTCCAATTCAGTTTGCAACCAGATGGACAGCTTCCGTTTTTCTTGTCACAAAGTCCCTCAAGACATTTTCCACACTGGGTACTGCAATTCTGGTCATAGTAACCATCAGCACATTCTTAATCAATGGAATAAACTTGTTCAAAATGCCAGTTTGTGTTGTATTGTAAAGAACATATTTATTTGTTTTCTGTTTACGGTAGCTCAATTGAGAAATATTGGTTCACATGGTCTTAAACCAGAGACTTGTCTACACGTCTAGCAATATGACTTAAACCCGAGATGTAAGATTAACTTTATCCTTAACTTGTTTCTGGGGATAAGGTAGGCTTTCGATATTCTCACTACGTCAGGTGGGCGACATTAAATGTGATATTTAAGTTAATGTTTAGAAGTTTATATTTTATATGATATCGTTTAAATAACGTTCAAAACAATTTTGAGTGCAACAGTAGTATGAAATAGACAAAAAAAAAACTACAAGCAATAAATATTTTAAGCAGGGCATAAAACACGAACCCCTGGAAATTACAGAACTGGGATTAAGTGCCTAGGAGCAGTAAATCTACCTTGTAGACAAGTCACATCGGCAGTGAGCCCTACGAATCGATCAGATAGACAGAACTACGTTTCCGTATCAAAATTAAGTATCAAAACACAGGCCTAACAATTAGTATGAAATAGTCAGTCATAATAGGACACAAAGATAGGTTGTATTTTCCAAATAGTCCTTATAACGACCAAAGAATATAATATAAGCAACCTACATATAATAATTGCTTTAAAAAAGCAGCACAAATAAACATGGGTATCACAACATTGCATTTTGCCTAAAAGAAATCAAGGTTTGGACAGCCCTCATTCTTTTATTGTAGATAAAATGAAAACAGCCACTTAAATGCAATCGTTTCCCAAGGAGAAGCAGATGAGGACGACGAGTACTACAAATGTGATTTCGACCGGTCGCATTTGCTTAGTGGTAGGGCGCTCCCTTCATGATCAGGAGGTACCGTTTCGAATTATTTTCCCGTGCGTCAAACCTGAGACGTTTACATATAGAGCGACTGTTCTTTTGGTGTTAACTCGGAACGCAGGGCCATTGAGCATTGGGGGTTCTTATTGGGCCATGGGACCTTGGTTTTTAAAATCTCATCCGAAACAGCCGTGACTCTCAGTTCTTATGCCTTGTGCTTGGAAAAGAAAGTCACAATCTTTGTTTACGTCTTACGTTTGACGCAGCATGGCAATTCGAGCTCTGGCATCCCATTTACGAAGCAAATTCCTGACCACTAGCCTACCTTGACTTGTTTCAGTATTACATAAATATCTGAAAAGAAAAAAATATGAGTGCCTTCATGTTTAGAGTAAATTAAACCTTTACAAAGATTCCCTATCCAGTTTTCTTTGCAGCCAGTCGAACAACTTCCGGTTTCTTTATCACACTGAGTGTCATCTTTACAATGCCCACATTGTTCACATATTCCATCGACAGCATGAGTTCCATCATCACAAACTTGTAATATTATAAATATAATATTTATAAATATTGTATATATTTTTAGGGGGATGTGACTATTTAATGGAGTGGAGAAGGTGAAAACAAACAAGGGAGTAGGTTATAATTCAAAAAATAATAATAATAGACGGACCATCTATGATAATGATAACAGATTCAGAAAAAAAACTTAAATTTAATGTGCTTTCATTGCAAATATTTTCCTTCGATGAATTTATTGAAAATAAAATATGTTCAAATCGGTAAGAAGTTAAAACGGGGTCAGAGATCATTGTATGACCAAATCATAGGTCGCAATGTTTATTCGTCACAATAGAACTGGATTAGGAACTTCCAACTCGACACAGATGAAATAATGTGAACACAACGAACATTTTTTAATCTCATCAATTTAGTTGACAAAACTAGTCTTGAACAGGGCATAAAGATAGACCCGTAGAAATACAAGAGGCGGGATCAGGTGCTTAGGAGGTGTGACATCCCCTGTAACACCCACCCTTAGCCCTATGTATTGATCACGTAAACTGAGAACTCCGCAGTTAAATAAAGTACAAAAGCAGTAGCCTAGGAAAAGTTTTGAAATATGTCAGACAAATACGACCCAATGATAGACTGCATTTACAAATAAGGTCATTAAAACGACCGTAGAAGTTTCGAAAAGCTGGCGTTTAATATGGTTGCCTTAAATCCTCGTGATATCAACTCATCTGTCAATAGCTTGCCTCGTTTAAAACAATGATCTTACTGCTCAGGGCAAACTAAAAATTTGATATATGTATATTTTTTTTCATTCACTAGAAGTCCATATAATATTCCTCCGAGATGAAGAATAGTCTTAATAAAAGCAGTAAAATGCTACTACTAACTTTTAAATCGAAATGCTTTTTTATGATTTGTAATTCTCGCATGAAAAATACAGCTTTAGACTTTCAAATATTAAGGACACATAAAATATTAAGCGTATCCTTCATTTAACATTTGCTATCACTTTAATATCAACATATCATAGATTTTGATTGTAATATCAACGTCAATGTCATTTTTTAAAGTAGACAACGGGACTTTTGTGTAATATATCTCGTCGAATATTCGTCTCAAATGTAAATATAAGTAATAAATAACAATGTTAAAAAGTGCACTAGGAAATGTTTGTTTGTTTTGCTTTTTTAACATCCCTTCGAGAATTTGGACCCACGCGGTTATGTTAAGGCTTCATTCAGATATACTGACTTGCCTATACAAGATAACGTCAGGGTAAACTATATGACATGATTTTTAAAGATAATGATTTCTTAAATATTTATATTTCAGGATTTATTGTAAGCCCTTTACATAAAGAACAAGGTGCGGTTTCAATATAAATCTTGCCCTGTGTTTTTCTTAAAAATAAAAGTGATGTAAAAAAAATAAAACTCATGCTTTTTGAATTATTGAAATTCCATGCAGAAAGATCATACAAATCTTTTTTCTCACATGACCTTCCAAATGCTAATTGTGACGTCATAAACTTGTGCATTTTCCCGTATTTTCTTAAAAAGTTGCAGAAGACACCAATTTTCAATGGAATTTTCTTTCAGATAATATTGTCCACAGACATCGCCCACAAAGATTTTGAGATATGTGATTTTTCAAAGAATTTACACAACATATCTAAAGATTAACGTGGGCAACGGCTTTGGACACTATTTTCTTGAGGAAAATAACCCTTGAAATTGGTCATTTTGAGGCTTTGTCTGTTTAAAATAGAGAAATGCATCAAATTAATTACGTCATATATCCAGAATGGTACTCCATCATGCTATATTCGTTCCTAATTTATTACAGTTATATACTCAACTAATATTTAAGCCAGTTTCAAAACTTTTTGAAAACATTAAATTTTTAGGGCACAATAAAGCTAAGACCATACTTTTTTCTTTAAACATTCAAAACATAATATAAACTAAACAATGACGTTTCTGCATGGTATAAAAAACAAAGTATTTTTGTAACGGGATTAAAATACCAAACAAATAACGCCAAAGCTTTTGATAAATATTGGCCGAGTGAAAATAAAACAAGTCGATTATTCATATTAAACATATGAAATGGGAGTTTACAGATAGATAGTTAAAGTACCCAATTGACATATTGGCGATGATTTTTTTTGTGTGATAAAAAATATCTTCTTTATCAGGATGGCAATATTTTTAGTACTTTACTAATATCGGACAAATTTAATTATGGTTATTAATTACATATTGAGGACGATAAGATTTTCTATTTAGACTTGTCACGTGATGTGACAGTCACGTGATTTTAGCACATATACTTGCATTATTGAGGTCATTGATAAATTTCTGTAATGCAAGGGCATAACCAAGTTAATATTCAAAGTTTTATAAATATTTTGAACAACCATTGTAGTTTGTAAAAAAGTGCTGTGATCCTATACAGATTAAAATATTTCATTGTTAAAATTATAGTTCTATGCCTGAATGCCAGATTTTTTGCTGGTCAACTGCATTTAATGTAGAAATTTTTAATTCATTTTCCAGATTTAACCATGATCACAACACATCTCCATTAGATTAATATATCTAGAGTTTATATGTGAAAGCTTACTATGATCCATTGTGTGAGTACCCTTGCACTAGAACAATTTATTAAAACCCTTACAATACCATCCAATGTGCATATGGTACCTGCATGCAAATATACAAGTTATATTAGTTAACTAGGAAATGTACGGAAAATACATGACATTGCATCCAGGTTAATGGCCTCCTTAATATCTGCAAATAATATTTTATTTAATTATATTTTTTTGTTGTGAAAATATTACGGAATCCGCCTCTCGCTGCATACAAACTGCGTCAAGTTTAACGAAATGTCATATCAACAGATGCATTGGAATCAGTGACTTGTTTAAACCTTGCTATGTTGGACATAACTAACTACAAAACAGCATGTTATAGTAAGTTATAATATAGTTTAATTCTTTTGTACAATTAAAAATCGCAAATCATTTCATTTTGTTGTACTTTAAAGAATTGTTAGATTTTGTGTGATGTCATAGTTAACATTTCCGGTATAAATTGGCCCCGCCTCCTTTTTGTAGCCTTAACTCTGCTGTGTAATTGATATACATTGAATGTCACGTGTGGTTCATTAAGAATTAATGTTTAAGAATGAGGTTTGTTGATTAATTTTCATCATTTCTTCTTATAATAAAGACGAACAGTGTTTTGGAATCCCGATCACCTTTTTTTTAGGTCGTCCACAGCAACATAGATGTAAAAGTTCAACACTACGCCGAATACTTTGAAACTTGAGTACAAGTTGTAAAAATTTTGGTAAGATGTCTTGCGAAAATTTGGAATCATTATTTCTGTGACAGGAATGTAGGATTCTAGCAGCACTTTTCATTACCCAGAGACGTTTTACATTATAATTCTAACAAACAGAAATGAATTATCCCCGGGGTAATGTTGAAATTTTCACTTCTCGTTCGGGCATTTTTTTCTATTTATAGACGTCAATTGATGACGTCGTAGTGGAGTGCTTCTTTTGGTCTGAGAATCGTTGACGTCTATACAATGGAAAATGATAGTAAAACTTTTGTCCGTAGCTTTTCTGATTTATCAGTATTACATTTGACCAAAAAGGTGTGAATATTCCGAATAACGATCTGAGTGCTGCCTTAATATACCTGCACATGTTGAGACGCCAGTCAACTCTTGGCGGTGGATGTCTACAAATTAAGATGTGAACTCGACACTTACGGCTTTTGAACAACGCAAGCAGTTACTGCGACACTGGACCTCGATTTATATGGTCTCATACAAAGGAACGGTCTCCGTGTAATACAGAGGATCCGAACCCGCGACGTAATGATTAACTTCTTTCTTTGCGACTCAAGAGGAAACGTTCTAACCGCAGTGCCATGTGGTGGCTACTGGGAAACGAACTTGGTCAAATCTACTGAGAAGACCTTTAGGTTTCATTTGAATTGGTCATGTGACCAAGTTCATTTTCCAGTGATTCTTTTTAATTTTTTTTTAAATGAATATTTTTGCAGATTAACTTTTTTCCCATTCTCTAACAAGGATTCCAGTACAAATAGACCCTTATTTTTATACCTTTAAAATTACACACCAATATCATTGACTGAATCTTAGTACATTTTCTAATTAATCTCCAAGGGGTTCTGTTACCAGTGAAAAAATAAACATGAAAGCATGACACAAATAAAGATCAAATAAACTTGTTTTTTTCTTTTTGAGAGCAAGCTTTTTTAACCTTATACTTTTAAACTGGATTGCAAGGGTGCAGAGCTTAATTAGTCATCCTCATATATACGATATACTCTGACGCAACATATTTTGAGAGTCGGAAAACTGAAATTTTAATTTCATATTTCATTCGAAGGAAGTAGCATTTTATATTTTTCTTTAAATAATCTAAAAAGAACTTACCGATACAATCTAAGGACATGGCACTTGGATCAGAACAGCCATAAATACATGATCCGTTAAAAGCATCACAATGTCTGTCCTTACACTTAACACTGCATGCATTAGTACACCCAAAGTGATATCTATTTTGCTCACAACCTAAAATATACGTAGAAGATAACAAAAGTCCTATTAGAGTCTACTTTTCCTATGATGAAATTAACATAAAAAATTTTAAATAATACTGAATTTTCTCAATTGTTCTTATATCTTACCAAAACTGATTGGAGAAAAAATAATGTTTTAAGTTAAAATACCCATTACTCGCACTTCGCATATTTCAACTGAGGTCCGTGTTACTTCTGCACCTGAACAGCTTGACTTAAACCCAGCAAGTCTTTCGTTAAAGAAGGCTACTCCCTGAGCTAATTTATTAACAGTTATGTTCTGGAGAGACGTCGGACATCCTGACATAGGATTGTGATGGTATACAAGACTCCCCGTGTTTCCAGTGGGAGGAACATACAATTCGTCCTCGTAAGTATATATGTAGAAACCTGTTGCCCGACTTGTCGCTTTAAAAGAGATGCATTATTATTATACGTGCCAGTCTACATTCAAATATAATTTTGTAAAAAATGTCGATTCTTTGAGAGTTGATATTTGATAATCTCTGTTTACTCTTCAATGTGAATCATGCGTGGATCTAGATTGTATTTTCTCACAAATTTGTAAAGAATAAGTTAAAAATATAGCTGATGTAATAATGACTATGATTTAAATTTTAGATGTCCTGTATCAATCATTTTACAATATTTCCATTTCTATTTGTTTTCTCTGTGAAAACTCTTTGAAAGTTAGGAGAGTTGATTTCTTGATCATTCTAACGAAATGCAAATTTCGCCAAGCGAAAGGTCAGGAGCTAAGAAGGCCTAATATGCATGTAATTCTTGTGCGGCTGTCATTTTGTCTGACTCTAAGGAGGCCTAATATGCATGTAATTCTCGAGCGGTTGTCTTTGTGTTTGACGTCAGTGGGCGGGGACTATTGAAATTGTCATGCCAGGCCTCGTGTAATTTAAATCTATTAGTCTAGATTTTTAAAATCTAAATTTACAATTTTATTTCACAATGAAATGGAATTATAAGGAATCACTGTCTAGTTAGTAGAGTATGCCAAGGACATCAACGATAGTTGGAAACGTGGGATAATTTATGCATAACGGGCTTTCCCATTATGCAAATTATCCCACGTTTCCAACTACCGTTGATGATCTGGCATACTCTAATAACTAGACAGTGATTCCTTAATTAAGAACTCTAGTAGAAGTAGAATCGAAATCTGGTAAAACATTTCTTTATTTATAAAATAAATTGTGACTCGAGATCTTTTCGTCATTGTCGAAATGATAAGAAACATGAGATATTAGTAAATTGTCGTTGAGATATAAGTTTGAAAACTTGTGCAAGTAAGTAAGCTTTTTTTCCCCATTAGAGTATCATAATCTTTATAAATATCAATTGACACGGGACTTACCAAGTGTCAATTGACAAAAAAAATAAATAAATAAAGAGGAAAGCCGGTAACAATGAGCACGAATTATGAATCTTTTTTTCCCTCAAGTCTTCAAATCTGTCTGAATATTTTTCCGCAGGTGTGTTAAGGAAACATTCAGATATTCTGACTTGACTAAATCAGTGATACAATATGACGTCATAGTAGGCGAGATGACGTCAATTTTTTCTTAATATTGGTATTTAAAGATGTAATTAAACTCTTGAAAATGAATAGAAACATGCAAATATAAACAAAAATAGAATTATTTCATTTTGTTATGCTGTATCTGTCACTTGGATTAAAAACTCCAACAAATGACGTCATAACTGTTCAACAAATAACTTGAGAATTGATTATTATGTGTAACGAGAATTTTGTTGTAAAAAGGTACGTAAAAGGGGTTTAGAAGCAAATATAATGAATATTGTGTGTGATTCATACAGATTTCAAGTTAATTAAACAGGTATGCTGATTTCTTTTTATCGATTTTATCTTCTATTGAAGACATTCAGCTATATACGCATTCCAGTAGGCCTCTCTTCTGTCATAGTTTGTATCTCGGGTCATACGTATATAATACAAAACATCGGGTAACGTTCCATGCGAATGCGTGGAATAATTATTTTCCCGACCGGACAGTAAGTAGCACTTTTTTAAGCATACGAGACGTTTTTCAGCTATATTATTTACTCAAAGAAATTATAAAACCCCGAGGTAGTGTTCTTCTATTTACTTTTTCATTAAGGAATATTTATTTTCTATTATTTCTTTAAAGGCACAAGGCAATTCAATAGGTTACACGTGACTGTCTAATAAATCCCAAAAATATAGACCATTATTAAAAATAATGGACTGTATTAAATAACTTATAGGTCGGGACAAGTAAGTTTTTGTTTTTCTGCATCCTTCAGTAGCCTTGACCAAAAGTTGAGAAATATTTGATAAATGTCCACTTCACTTCAAAATTCATTATTTTGACAATCCTTAGCTAAAACTCCAAAATATCACTGGGGAATGACTTCTATATTATCAAAAGATTGCTAATTATATATGGATTTATGGTTTGCTTCAGATATGTGCCCTCTCCCTCTGAAGAAGACATGCTTTCGACATATACATTCTCAAGAATATCATGCCTTATTTATTCAGTTATAAGAAATAGCACTTACCTGTAACTGTTTACAAAGTTAACTATAACAATGACTGATTTTTTTAAAATTAAATTCTTTATTTTCTTTCTTTTTTCTTTTTTTTTTTTTTTTTATTATTATCTTTTTTTTTTTTTTTTTTTTTTTTTTTTTTTTTTTGAGTAAACAAATTTTACCCGAGACAGTCTAATTAGTACACAATGCTAACTTAATACAATGGATAAAAACTCTTCTAAGAGAGAACATAATTAACAAAATAGAGGTATTTTTTTAAGTGAGTTATAGACCTCAGACTGTCTAACGGTCCTCCTAAATTCTTTCTTCTCACAGAATGGACAGTTTTTGGCCTATATCCTTTCTTTAAATCAAGATCATAAGGCAAAAGAGTCGAATATTGCTTTAGTTCCGATTACAACTATGCTGCAGTAAATAAAAGTCTCCTGCATAAACAAAGGTTCAGAGACTGATCATAATGTTAAATATCACGCAATTTATTATGGACAATATTCTATGGATTTTTGCAAAAAAGTCTTTTTTTCCATTGTCATCTAAAATGTCCTTTAGTATTTGACCATTTTCACAGAGCCTTATCCTGTATTACCCAGAAACTTTAAAATTCGAAAAGAAGAAACATTGCTACTGCATTATTTTTTTTCTGTTTAACTTCAAATAAACAGAAAATAAATTACTCAGCACACCGTCCTTTTTAGATATACATGTACTTGCAATATTGAGTTTCATATATGTTTCCCTAATACTAACGGTATATCTGCTTAAAAGACGATTTCCCCTCAGGTTACTGGTATATATATAACATTCATCGTTCTAGAAATTGTTTTATCCATTTAACCTTTGCCAGTCATTAGTAAAGATCTACATTGAATCTCCAGTCTTCCGAAAGTATGCATTCTTATCATAACTAAATACCAATATCTCCAAAGTGCACTTAATTAAGCTGTGTAAGATATCACAGATAACTAAAAAAAAGGTATGACGTCATGCTCAAAAGAACGTGTTTGTTTGTAGTACACAGCACTACTGCTAGACGAAAATACGTGAATTACGTATTACATATCAATCTAAATTCCTACGAAAATTTGGTATAGGAATCTTACATTTATTGATTTTACGCTAAGGTATGTCATTTAGCTTTTTAGTATGATTTTGCTATTTTTCAATTCTACTTTATCAGTAATGAATAGTTTGTTGCTGTTGTTTGGTGTTTTTCTTTTTTAAAGATTTAAAACAACGTGCATATACACAAAAAGAACAACAGATAAGGGAAAAAAACTAGGAATACTTACTTCCTGATCGCAGATAGATTTCCAAATATGCTATATTAAATTTTCTGTTTAACCAGACCTTCCACCAAACCGATTTATAATTTCTATTGTAGTCAGCAATAGCACATGTTGGAAGGTGGTCCTGTTTTGTATTACCATCTACCGCTTTGTCAGCTGTCCAGCTGCTGTCATGAGGAGCAACATTCCAAGAGGCATTTCCCTGCAGTGTCTGATCAGGTGTATGCGCCAGGTTAACTGTAATTTGATTTCTCTTGCAATGTATAATCAATAGTCTATTATTACGCTATCTGACAATTGATGTCAAAGAAAAAGTGCCAAAACATTTCGAGATTTGACAAACAGCATCTCTCTACTATTGTATTAGCGACAATAGAGAGTGAAAGACTTACCAAATCCTGAGGTCCTTTGTACAGAGTGTATAAGAATGTTTACTACAATTGCTTCCAACCACATATCTGTATATTCTGAATAGAACGTTTGGTGTTATTTATCTTCCTTGTTGACTGTCTGTAAGTTACGAGGCACACAGCAGAAGCTACGCATATCTATGTAACTATGTTATAAACAGGCGGACTTAGCTCTTTCAAGATATTTAAGACTTCCATTTGAAAAGATTTTTTTTTTTATTTGTTTGAAAAGGGAAAATACGATCACATTTTCATTTCGTGAAACCATTTCAAGTGAAGTCACTGTCATAAGATCAAGTATTAAGAAATTTACGGTAGAGGTAAACTAAGAACAGATTGATTGACTGATATTATTGCCTATTATTCAATTCAACCATTTATCAGTCCTTATGTTTTGGGGTTTTTTTTATTATATTGAAATATTGATTATTTTGAAAGGACATTCAAGACTGATAAAAGGTTCCCACCTTAATGCAAATCTCGCTATAGGACACCATTGGATTATACTGATAGCTAACAATAGTAATCTTTCAAAGTCTTCCGTGTTTAAAACAAGGTACATAAAAATATACATCCATGCTTAATATTAGATGGGTGTTTATAAATAATGACTGTGAGGTACAGCAAAATAAATTTAGTGCATGAACGTGTCCTGATTTTAATTTAAGCATTAATTTTTGCTATAATGTGTATTTTTAGCTGTTGAAAATAAAATAATTCAATTATGTTAATGGGTTCTTATCGGTAACTTTTCACATTACGTACTTACAAGGTTGGAGAGAGAGAGGGGGGGGGGAGAGAGAGAGAGGGGGGCAGAGAGGGAGGGAGGGAGAGAGATTTACCGAAACACGACAAACTTCATAAACAACTGAAATCCAGTGTGAAATATACTTCAAATAAACATCGTTGTTTTATCTTCCGGGTCCTACAAAAATGATTTTGGAATGTAGTATTTAATCAGTTTTAGAAGATAAGGTACAGATGGATCAGATTTATAAAATCAATAAATCTTAGTAAAGCTCTTGAGGACGGTTGATTTACGGTTTTCATAGTGAAATAGCAAACATGCTCGTAATATTAAAAATGTGTTCAAAACCAAAAGGAACAAATATAAAACATTAATTATTGAAGTTCTTAATATATATGCGTAACTTAGATGTAGAGATATCATTATTTTTTAAAATATTTTTGACAACATTTATGCATAGAAATAAATATGCATTTTCAGTAAAGAAAAGGTATTATTCATGCCTGGTTATAATTTTTATATTATAAAATCAAGCTACTTTTTAACTATCGCTTTTTACATAATCAAAGTAGTGAACGTACTGATGGGAGTTGATTTTAGTGACGGTTTCAATAAAATTTAATATTTGTAACCTTGTTCAAAACTTTTCAAAATTATGTACAACATTATTTAATGCTTCTTAATTTGTTATGCGAGAAGCAAATGATTAAAAAACTGTCACTATAATTGTACAGAGTCAAAAATCTAAGGTTTGTTTTGATTTGACCATAACTTTTGAATGATGTGCGAAAACGTGTAAGACTTTTACTCTGATCAAAAATTTTAATTTATTCAAGGAACTTTTCCTGACCAAAAGTTTGCTTAAAAGTTCTATAGCAACAAATCTTTTAGTCAGAATCTGATGCAAGTTGTGTATTCTACTCTTTGTATATGATTTTGAATAAATAATTTTTAAGTGCATGTTTGAATTTACATCAAGAGAAATGGGGTACGGTTTGCTTATTTGCATAGAAGACATATTGTTTTCAATTTGGCAGAATTTTGTTCAATGCGTTATATAAGGGAAAAAAAGAGATTTAAAAAATCATCAATTTTGAATAATTTCTTCCTCATTTGGTTCTATCTTTTATTGTTTTCTGGATCGGAATGTAATCTTTTGTTTACAAAATTATGAAAGGTGAAAGTTCTTTTCGAGTTCGAAAATCTAAAGCAAAGGCTGTACCTCTCATTCTATCACGTTACTATAAGAATGTTTTCTTACGGCTCTATATAAAGTCTATATATTATCAATTTAGTGTGACAATAAAATGTGGATTAATATTTTTTGGAATATGTCTTTATTTTTGTCCAATAAAGCTTGCTTCGTAATATTTTTGATTTTATAAACTACGATATTAGCTTGATCCACACCTCAATTACAGAGAAACTGCGTGTCAAACTAAGAAATGACGTCATCTTAATTAGTACAGCGAGATCAAGCTGGCTTTCATTCTACGTACTCTAAGTGCTATTTTGGGAAGATAAGTTGCACATCCAATTATCTTTATAATATTTATGAGAAACGAAAGTAATTGAGTATGTTTTAAAGAGAACATGTAGTATTTATTCATCGAGATTCATTTGTATTGTTTTAACGTGACGCCATAATAGCTTTCCCGAACCTCTGTATAGGCTGATGTAAGTATGGGAGTCCTTAACCTAGCTACGTATTGAACTTTATTATTGTTATATGATTAGGATACATGGTCAAATTATTATTCATGTTTCATATAAAAAGATAATTTAATAAATAGTCTTTAGCAATGATCACATTGTCATTAATTCATGAATAATGTGTACAACATTTAACCATATGATGTACTTTGATTAAAGTTAAATTCCGACAAATACCATCTATATTGGTGATGAGAAAATTAATGGAGCAACATTTATACCAGCAATAAATGTTCTTCTCAAATAGTGACTTGGAGTCACAGTATACATCTGTAAAAGTGTAAAAGACTTTCAAAATTGTCAAGTCTATACCAATAGCTTATCTTTGAGTTTATAATGTCAAATTATAGGGAAAACCTACCTTATTCAGATAGTACAACAAAATGAATTGCATATTTGGGAACACCAGGTATTGATTTGCAAAATTTCATTTTTCCTTTACATTTATAGATTACACTCTGTCCATTGTTGTACCGCCAAGGATGCTATTTCTTTTTTAGTAAATGAGTTAAAATAACCCCAGATTTCATTTGCATACAATAGAATAGGGTTAATAAAATGGTCAAAACGTGAATACTGGTTTTAATGTCTGGATTTTGTGAAATTATTTTTTTTTCTGTATTTAAGAAATGATTTTAATGCTTTTTGAGAAAGTTAATATACTTTTGAGCAAAAGCGAAAGGACATAGGAAGCAAAATGTTACATATAGATATTTGTATTCAGACACACTATAAGATATAACAGTTTATTTAAATATACTTAAAATGTTTATAAATTAAGCCTTATTGCGTGGCATGATTCATTTTAAATGTAACACTTTATTGAATCTTCTTTTTTTTTTATTTTCGCTAGAATCTAAATAAGATTGCAGCGAGATGAAATATTTCATTACAGGTATATTAAACCACAAAGCAACATATTTGGTCTTAGTTCGCAAAATGTATACAAATAACACGGTTTTGTGTAAAAAGGAATGGACTATAACAACACCTCACCCCAACCCAAAGCTACTCAAGCGCCCCAAATAAGCGAAATTTGGGATCCAACCCGAATCCTGTTCTTTCAACAGTGAACTAATCATTGAGACAATTACAAGCACAAAGCTCCTGCAAAAATAAAAATAACTAGAAACTCATTACTAGTAATGAGAAGGTCTTCCGTTATACTACTTCCTGTTTGCATAAACATGCCTTTTCCAACGTCGGTATAAGCCTAAAACTGATGTAGAAACAAAAGAACTTAAAAAAAATACTTTTTTCTTCATTTCCTGTCACGACCGGAAGTAATGACGACAGACGATTTTTACACGATGCAAATGAACTGATGACTGACTATAAGTCCTGAAAGTTTTAGACTTCAGTCTTTTACTCTTACCGAGCAATTGTGAGAACACATTCTAATTTTGAGGACAGGAAAACACACGACCGGAAGTGAATTGAATAAAAATCTCTGAATTTTCTCATGACATTTGTAGTATCTACAGCATATGTATAAAAAAAAAACATTTCAAATACTTATCTGTAAGTAATATTTATGAGAAAGCTAAACATTGAAATAACGTAGTTTATCTCTTTAAACCGGAAGTTTACAGTTTTTGTTTCCGGTGTAATCTAACATATTTCAAAACACGAAAGAGATGCAACAAAGTGATGCAAGTTTTAATTTTATAAAGAAAAGTTGAAATTTTCGATTTTTTGATCACTTCCTGTGACGACCGGAAGTGACGGCTGACGCGTCTAACCCTATGTGTTTTGCCTACCCCTCAAGGTCTATTACTCATTTAGGTTTGGTGTCTTAATCTCATGCCATTTCCGAGATCTCGCTGAGATAACTTTTCATTTTGAGGACAGGAAAAACACGCGACCGGAAGTGAATTTTACTAAGATTTTTGACGTTACTCTAGACATTTGCAGTCTGAATAACATATCTTAAAATCTTTTCAAATACTTTATCTATAAAAGATATTTAAGGGAAAGTAAATTACTCAAATTATGTAGTTTTCCTCTTCTAACCGGAAGTTGTTGTTTTTGTTTCCGGTGGGACTGACATATTTCGAAACTACACATGAGATGCAATAATGTGATGCAAAAAAAATTCAGAAAAGAAAAGTTGAAATTTTCGATTTCTTTGATCACTTCCTGTGACGACCGGAAGTGACGGCTGACACGCTTAACCCAAATGGGCTCGCCTACTCCTCATGTTCTATTACTCGTATAAGTTTGGTGTCTTAATCTCTTACCGTTTCTGAGATCTCACTCGGAAAAAATATTTTTGAAAAAAACGGAAATCGGAATTATCTGACGACAGGAAGTGAATTTTGAAAAAATGAAAAAAAAACGCCTGGGGGTATTTTCATTCTCTATCAACCCTGAAAATTTCAGGAAAATCCATCCAGTCATCTCTGAGAAATCCTGCCGACAAAAAAGGGGAAAATAATAATAATAATAATAACTAGAAACTCATTACTAGTAATGAGAAGGTCTTCCGTTATACTACTTCCTGTTTGCATGAACATGTCTTTCCCAACGTCGGTATTAGCCTAAAACTTATGTAGAAACCAAATAACCTAAAACAATACTTTTTT